ACTTTTTGCTCAGGCTGGTCTTCAACCTGTGAACTCAAGCTATCCACCCTCCTCGGCCTGAGGTCAGAGATTTTTTTTTTTTTTTTGAGACAGAGCCTCAAGCTGTCGCCCTGGGTAGAGTGCTGTGGCATCATAGCTCACAGCAACCTCCAACTCTTGGTCTCAAGTGATCCTCTGGGGGGGGGGGGGCGACATAGTAACTGTACTACCTGTGCAATTGTTCTACAAATATAAAACTTTTTACGGCCGGGCACGGTGGCTCACACCTATAATCCTAGCACTCTGGGAGGCGGAGGCAGTGGACTGCCTGAGCGCACAGGTTCAAGACCATCCTGAGCCAGAGTGAAACCTCTTTTCTAAAGATACCCAGGCATTGTGACAGGCACCTGTAGTCCCAGCTACTCAGGAGGTCAGGCAAGAGAATCACTTGAGCCCAGGAGTTTGAGGTTGCTGTGAGCTATGACTACACAGCACTCTACGGAGGGCAACAAAGTAAGATGCCATCTCAAAAAAAAAAAAAAAACCCACAGCAGGAAGAGGTATTAATCTTTTTGTGGGAATTACTGCCCAGCTTTCACTGAATCCAATATTTAATTTCCCTGAAGTGCAACTGACTTTCAAAGACTCCTGACACGTGGGCCCCTGTTTCTTTATATGACTGGCCTAGTCACTAAGTCCTGATCTCCCAACAATTGACCCAGACATCCAGGATCTGCTTGCCTCACGGTTAAATTACAAGTTAATGGCTTCTCTCCTATTCTATCATTTAGATAGATACCATCATCTTTTTAAAGGGAAGAGAGAGAACCCCAATACAATCTCTGACTAATTTATCATGTAACGTAACTGTTATATCACTCAAAAGAAAGACCAGATAGTACAAATAGGCCTGTAAGTGTGAATGGAATCGTCAAGGCAAAGTCCAAGTTTGCTTTAAAAGACAATGGTAGGCAGGACACAGATGACTCACACCTGTAATTCTAGCACTCTGGGGGGGCTGAGGTGTGAGGATCATTTGAGGCCAGGAGTTGGAGACTAGCCCAAGCAATAGTACAACCCCATGTCTACAAAAAATTTAAATATGAGGTTAGCATGATGACTCATGCCTATAACTACTCAAGAGGCTAAGGCAGGAGGATTGCTTGAGCCCAGGAGTTTGAGGTTGCTGTGAGCTATGGTGACACTATTGCCATCTGGGCAGGGTGACAGAGTGAGACTATGCCTCAAAAAAAAAAAAAAAAGGCAATGGTATTCACTATCTCCTATGCCTAAAGAACCTCTCATGATAAACACATTCTTCTCATCATGTGTGTACAGGCTGCATGGAAGTCCATTCTTACTCTCTCAAGATCCTGAAATTAACACATGCCTGAAGTAATGATCTTAGTGTTCATAGATTATGTCATGTCTTGTCTTTTCTTTCTTTCTTTCTTTCTTTCTTTCTTTCTTTCTTTCTTTCTTTCTTTCTTTCTTTCTTTCTTTCTTTCTTCTTTTCCAGACAGAGTCTGACTCTGTGCCCTTGGTAGAGTGCTGTGGCAGAGGCATCATCATAGCCCACAGCAACCTCAAACTCCTGGGCTCAAGCAATCCTCTTGCCTCAGCCTCCCAAGTAGCTAGGGCTACAGATGCCTGCCCATGTCTTGGCTTTGAGAAGGCACTCACTATGAGCCTTCCTTATGAGATGAGGGAGGAAAGATCAGCTTTCCAACTTCACTTACAAATCTCTGGGCTTTCTTTACTTTAGGATTTTGCTTCCAATTCTCCTTGCAGAGACTAGAACCAAAACTATACAGAAAGCAACATGTGTGGTGTAGCATTGTGTAAGGTCCTACTTGGAGAAGTCAAAAGGAGGAGTGAGGACAGAAAGGCCCATCACCTGTCAGGGAGGTGAGATGAGGTGGATGAAAACTCCTTTTGCGTCCTTGACCTGGGTAGGCATGCAGTGTTGTTGTTGTTGTTTTAATCTGATGTTACAGGATGAATTGTGTCCACACCAAAATTCATATGCTGAAGCACTGACTCCCAGCACCTTACAATGGAACTGTTTGCAGATTGGATCTTTAAAGAGGTAATCAACCCAAATGGGGTCATTAGGGTGGGGCCTAACCCAAACTGGCTAGAGTCCTTGTAAGAGGAGATTAGGACACAGATGCACACAGAGGCACGACCGACCACGTGAGCACACAGGGAAAAAACAGCCCTAAGGAAGGAGGGCACAGAGGAACCCAGCCCTGCTGAGAGCTTGACATCGGACTTGTATCTTCCAGAATATGAAAATACACACGCTTATTGTTTAAAGCACCTAGCCTGAGATGCTCTGTGACAGCAGCCCCAGCTAACTAGTACATACGAGTCTTTACTATTTTTTTCCATTGAGAATTTTATATTCAATTCCTATCATTTGAATACTGAAAAAGCCTTGCATTTGGCATG